GGGGGGGGGGGGAGGGGGGGAGGCTGCAGCCAGGACTCACTAAACCCAGGCAAAAGAACTGGAGGCCCCTAGTCAGGAAACAGCACAGCTGGGACCTTGGAGCAGGAGAGACTCTTGGAGATGTTCAGATCCCTCCGTGTCTTTATACACAGGGCAAACTGAGACCCAGAGAGGGGACTTGTCAAAGTCACCCAGGAGGAGCCCAGCCAGGTGGTCCTACAGCCTGGACAGTCACCCAGGTGGTCCCCCCTCCTCAGGAAGAGGGGTGACCATCGCCTGCAGCCAAGTGAGGTCCAAGCGCATTCTGGGTGCAGCTTCCTTGGGTAGTGGCTACTGTCGCTGGGTGGAGAGAGCCCGGGTGCACCTCTTGGCTGGCAGGCTGGCTGTACACCGGCAGCAGAGAGGTTGAGTCTGGGTGGAGCTAGTTCCACTGCTGACCCTCCGGCTCTCCCGACCTCTCTTCCCAACGAAAGAACTCGGAGAAAACATTTTTTGAAGTGTCTGTACTTTAAAAGAATCGCGTGTGTTTGTTTTTAGAGTCCTCTAGGGCCCCTCTTCCACCTCACCTCCGGGTCCCTTGGGACTGACTTGCAAGGAGGGAGCTGCGAGGCAGGAACAGAACAGCGCTCCTGTCCACTGCCCGCTTCCCGAGCCCTACGGTCCCGCCGGGGGCGGGGGAGGGCCGCCGGGAGCGCACCGGGGACACGCCCGACCGCGCGCAGGAGCAGGGCCGGAGCCGCGGAGGGCCGCTGGCTCTGACTCCCAATCAGAGGAGCGGCGGGAGGAAACCGAGCGCCTTCCTTATAATCTTATCAATTCCCCTTCTCCCCACCCTCCAGGAGCTAATTAAACCCACCCCGGAATCTTGGGCCAGGAAAAACGCCTCTAAAAGGACCAGAGCCAGAGGCCCGTCCAGGCCGAGGCTCCGGGCGCTGAGGCCCTTGCCGCCCACCCGCTCCCTCGGAGCCCGACCTCCCCGTGGCCCGAAGCGACTGGGTCAGACTTCCAGACTTAAAACGAAGTCATTTATTTCAATTTTGCTTTCACATTAAGCTCCGATACAATCAAAACTCCTAGAGGAACCTCTTGACCAAAAGTCCCGTGACGAGCGCCAGCTTGGGTGCCCCGGCGGCGCGGAGGACCGGCCTGGGACTCGGCCAGGAGTAGAAAAACCGCCGCTCCGGGCACCAGGAACCGGGCACCAGGAACCGGGCACCGGGCACCGGGAAGCGGGAGCGCTCAGCGGGAGACGCCCGCGGGCAGAGCGTGGGGAGCGCGCGCGGCGGCCCGGCGGGTTCCAGCTCCCCGGCCTGGGGCTACTCCTGAAGCTCGGGCTTCGAAAAACCCGAGCTTGGCTTCCTGGCCGGCGGCCCCGCTTGGCCTCGTAAGATTTCGGCCAAATTTGTTAGGTTTGCGCCAAAGCAGGTACCGCGGGCGAGCGCAGGGCTGGCCGCAGGCCTGGCGCCGGGGG